CTGTCCTTTTGTTCTTCAGTCTAGTTGTGGAGGACATCGCTTCACTGGCCCATGTTGGTATTGTGATCATTGCACTCTTCCTGGGTGAGGCAGATCGGTCGCTGGTCACTGGACGGCCGCTCATGGCGGCTTCTGGCAGCTCACGCCAGCTGCCGGCTGCTCACAGTAGCTCACGGCAGCCCACTGCAGACCCACTGCAGCCTACGCCGTCGCCTCTCGGCAGCCCAGCTCCAGGTCGAGCTGTTGTTCACCATCTTAGCTGCAGAGGGCGCAGTGTCACTGGCCCTCATGTGGCATCCGAACCGGGGCCCTGCTGCTCAGAGCTGGCATCCCAAGCCAACTCTTAACCAATGCGCCACTCAGCCGGCCCCATGAATTTCTTTTTCAGTTACAGCTTTTTAGTAACAGCTGAGATACATTCACATGATTTTTTTTTTTTAAGATTTCATTGGGGAATTGGGGAAGGGAGCATTGTGTTTTTCCAGTACCCGTCAGCTCCAAGTCCATTTGCCACTTTCAATCTAGTTGCAGGACGGGTTGAGGGGTGAGCACAGCCCACCATCCCATGCGGGAGTCAAACCAGCAACCTTGTTAAGAGCATGTACTGTCACCAGCTGAGCCATCCAGCTGCCCGTCCGTAGCTCAGTGGCAGCTCACTGGCCCATGCGGGAATTGAACTGGCAACCCTGCTGCTCAGAGCTCGCACTCTAACCAACTGCGCCACCTGGCCGGCCCCACATGTTTTAAAGTCTACAATCCAGTGTGTTTTAGTATGTACATCGATCACCTCCTCCCCAGTAAGACACCCTGCCCCACTGGCCATCACTCCCTCCCCAGCCCCTGGCAACCACGGGTGCACTTGCCTTCTCTGGACCTGCTCTTTTGGAACGTTTCCTTACTTGGATCTGCTTTTTTGGTATCTGTTCTGTTGGTCTACTTGCCTGTCTCGTCACTGCTACCACGTTATTTTTATTTTCATGAGCTGTTGATGATTGTGTAACATGCACACAGATGTGCAAATCTAAGTGGACAGTTGGGTGAGTTTTTGTAAACTGTGAGACCAGCACCCAGAGAGAGCAGCCAGCACTCGGCCCGACGGCCCGCGGCCACCAGCAGAGAGCGGGGTGCCCAGTGCCCCCAGCACTGAGCAGGCCTGTGTTTGTGATGCCCACCCTGTTGTGTGACAGGCACACCCGTCCTCTTAGCTGCGCATCACTGTGAGCACAGTCGTGCTCTGTTACTTGTGTGCACCTTCCTATTGGAACTCTGCAGCAGCCTCGTCAGGCTGGTCACCCCTCTGCGCTGTCCCCTGCGGCCACTCCCCATAGGCCCTAACCGTTCAGTGCATCCCTCTGGTGCTCTCTGAGCAGCAGCTCACTGGCAGCTGCCTCCCCAGCGTGCTCTCCGTCTCCATGGAAACCCCACACACACACCTGTGGCTCCTCCTCCTAGCAGCGCAGGCCTGGGCACCTGCCGTCTGCTGTCTCCATGGGGTCAGGGGGTGCTGTCGGTTCCCAGTTTCTCTTAGGTGCCTTTTGTTTTCTTATTGGTCAGCTGGACTTGTTGAGAAATTCTCTGTACGAATTCTCTGTTGGACTCGTATGTGTACATGTTAAATCTGCTTGCTTTTCACTCTCCACGTGGTGTCTTTTGATGAATACAAGTTCTTAAATTTAATAGAGCCCAGTTTATCAGATTTTTTTCTTTTGTGGTTAATACATTTTGTGCCTGTTTAGGAAATCTGCCTGTAAGATGTAACATTTTGCTTTTTGTAGTCCTTCCTCTAGGATGGATTCTTTTGTATAAAGCGAGTAGAGATCAGGTACATTGTTTCCCACATGATGATCCAGCTGAGTCGCCATATTTAAAAAATTCACTTTTAGTGAATTTTTCATTTAAAGAAGGCTGAATGACAGACACCTGAGAGTAGCAGTAATCACATGTGGTAAGAGCTGAGCGTGAATTATCCAGCCCGCGGCACACCCAGCAAACCTTGGTGCGGGAGCACACTTCCCTTTGCTCTGGTCCGTGTGGAAAACACACAGGACACGTTTCTGGCAAATATGTAAGTTTTACACAGCCTCTGGTTATAACCCGCATCCTGTAGAGATGTGCAGCCTGTAATGGGTGTTTGTATTTACACAGGGAGTATGGTCGGGTTTTATGTTTAAAATAAACGCTGGGATCATAATACCTTGGCTTACTGCTACTACTAAACAATAATATGATATAATAAGGTAGATGATACGTGTTAACATGTTATATTAATGTAATTACCTAGTGTCATAATAAATACCCTGCACAGTATCTCAGGATGGAGAGGAGGAGTTATTAACTGTTATTTTAAACATTTAAAAATCTTATTAACATGATAATATAGCTGCACAGACTCACTTTCCTATGAAACACAACCTTTACAGAGTTAGTGGCGATTGGTCTTTGTAGTTCCTGATAGTAAGACCAGTGTTTTGTTTTCTCTGCTGAGCACAAACTACGCTCCTTTGCCACGTGGAAGATGGTGTGAAGGCATGGAGTGTCTCTTCCCACAGCGGACCCGGTCACCAGGGCCACCAGCCACCCCTCGTACGCTCCTCTCCGCTTGTTCATCTAAAACAGACGCGCCATAATTAAAACAAACAAACAAATGATAAAATGGACATGCCCGTCATCTGCAGTTTCTGTGTCCTTCTGACTCCAGGTTTCTGTGAGGCCTGAGGCTGGCTTAGGTCACAGGCAGGCTCCCCCATCTCTTAGGGGATGGAGTGTGGCCTGGGCACTGTCCCCCTCCCCTGGGCGCACTGGCCCCACCGCTTCAGGCTGAGGTCCCACAACGACAGACAACGTGGGTCCGTGTGGCTCAGCCTCCTGCATCCCAACAGGGCCCATGGCTGGTCCTGCAGCTTACTTGGGGAGCCTGTCCCGGCATTGTGGGGCAATGTGGGGCAAGCCCAGGAGCTGGGCGGCGGGGAGCACACGGCCCCCCAAGGTGGGGGTACTTCGGAAGGATGTGCTGCATCTGGTCCAGAGGCTCGCGAATGCTGGCACCTAAGGCCTGTAAAACATGACAGCACAGTGGCTTCGCGCCAGTGATCCGAGCCTCGGGCACAGCGGCCACGCTGCTTAGGTCTCAATGCTCAGCCACCTGCTTCCAGCACTCGTCCTCGGTCTCCCCTCCGTTTGTAGGGAGCCCAGCAGGTGCCACCTCAGACCTCAGCATGGCTTGTGACCGTGCCAGGGTCCTCCTGCAGGAAGACGAGCGCCCCGGGAGTGCCGTGGCCAGCAAGGTAGGCAGCGCCCCTCACCCCTGCCTTCTGCCCTCCCTCCCTTGTCCCCGCGTCCTTTCCCTGCCACGTGCCTTCTGATCAATCATACTGCCGGCTCTCAAGTCCAAGAAGAGCGTGGTGGTTGCAGAGACGCCCTCCGCCGTCTTCCACTACTCGGAGAGCATCGCGGACGAGACTGTTGCCAGCAGGAAGACAGACGCCATCTTCAGAGCTGCCAAGCAGGACCTGCTCACGCTGATGAGGCTGGATGTAAGTGCCCCAGCCTGCCTACACCATGGTGGGCAGCCTCTGGACAGGTGGGGACAGGCGGGGACAGGTGGGACTGATGGGGACTGGCAGGTGGGCGTCGGACTCTCCACAGACACTGGGTCTCACGTCACCCACTTCCTTCAGGTGGCCAGAGCCCCTGCCAGGGTAGGACCCCCTTTGGGTGGGGCTCGGAAGTGTCCTCATGCACAGGTGCCACAGGCGGCTGGGATGGTCCCTGGGACACCAGCTAGGATGCTGATGAGGGTTAAAGTGACAGCGCTCCGGACTGGGTCCCCATCGCATGCACGTTTTAATCCTTTCTCGTTTCACCTTTTCAAAGTTGGGGTACCTTCTATTCAGGGGTGTCTGAGTCCCGTGCAGCAATCACATGTCAGGACACCAGCTGCGTGCCCTGCACACACAGACCTGTTCCTGTGGGGAGGCCATTGCCCGGGACTCGCCCTTTGTGTCCTTGGAGTCCACGTCCCGTTGCTGCCAGGCTGGAGCCACTGTCATTGTCCTTGCTCTGGGGCCAGTGTGTGAATGCGCGCCGTGGGGGTACATGCCTGCTCACACACGTGTCTGTGTCCCCTTCCAGATGGGCAGACTTTCCCGTTTCAGGTGAACGGCGGTGTCGAGTGTGGCGCTGGGTGACGTTAGAGTCCTGAGTGCAGGTGGAGCCAGCATTGCCCACGTCTGTCGGTCGTGGGGGCAGCTATGGGGCTCCTTGTGCCTTTCTGACTTGAGGGTTTCCTGGTACCTGCTTGGTAGGAGCGCGTGCTGATCACAGGGCTTGAACGTAACACTGCCCTGAGGCGCGCCCCTCCGCCTGGCAGCCGTGTCTGGTGGGCACAAGCCGCTGGTCCCAGTGCAGCGGCCTTCTGGGCCTCTTCCTTCATGGTTGGTGCTCTTCACGCCTTGGGGACGAAGCAGTTCCTACTTTGACTTCACACAGAGTTTTTCTGTATTGTCAAAAAGTTTTGTTGCTTCGCCTTTCTGAGGTTTTATTGCAGATGGAATACATTCTTGTGCAAGATGGAATTCAAGTTGCCGGTGGCTTGTGGACTGATGGGGCCCAGTAGGAGGTGGCAGTCCGACCTCCCCACTGCTCGAGCCTCTGTCACCAGCACTCTGTCTGGGTCCTCTTCTGTTTCTCACTGTTCACACCTGCCCCGCACCCCGGCAGTACAGCTCTGCGCTGGGCCACCCTCCTCTGGCCACCAGAGGAAAGGAGGCAGGTTTCCCACGCCTCCCAGCTCTCAGCGCCCTCCTTCCTGGCCCCTCATCAGAAAAGGCAGCTTTTCGTGGAGTTTTTGTCACCTGTGCCCATGGCACAGCACCACACCCCGGCTGGGGACAAAGGAGGAAGGCGCCAGAACGCCCTGCACCGTGGTCCCCGTGCTGGGAGCCGCTGGCTGCGCTGTCGGTTCTGAGGACACAGGCCGCCTGGGCTGACTTCCTCCTGGAAGGTGTTTGGCGGGCGAGCTACTGGCCGCAGCCCACGACCCCGCCCGGCGTCACTGCTGCGACGTCCTGCTGGTCTTTCCTCTGAAAAGGACTCTTTCTTTCCTCTTATTGCTCTTAGGACATTTCGCTTGTGTTTGGATTTCTGCAGTGTCACTAGCATAGAACCTCCTGTGGGTTTCTTTTTATTTCTCTTGCATGAAACGCTGTGGGCTTCATCAGTCTGCTCTCTGAACTCAGCTCTTCAAATATTGCCTCTGCCCATTTTCCCACTTCTCCTTCAGAGACTCAAGTGCCGTCTGGTCACTTATCCTTTAGGCGTCTTCCCCTTTCTTCTGTGTTTTCCACTGAAAAAAAGTCTTTATTTGACTTTACAAGGTGTGATCAAACAATACGGTGAATGTTTAAATAAAAACAAGGTCTTACAGTAAAAGACACACTGCCATTATTAATCCCCCTCGAAATACCCCTCTCACTTCCAGCACACTCATCCCATGGTCCTGGCCACTCTTCGAAGCAGTTCTGGAAGTCCTCTTTCGTGAGTGTCTTGCGTCGCTCACAGATGTGTTACTTCAGCCCAGCAGAGTTCTCTTGTCATGGTGTCGATCTGGGTTCAGCCCGCCTTCCCAGCCTTCGTCCCGAGTCTGTGGTCGGGAGTGCCTGCTGTCTGCAGTCGGGCCGGCTCCTCAGGACTTCAGAGCCCTTGTTTAATGTTCCGTCTGCCCTTCGTGTTCTTTGCTGGTTCTGGGGCTGCTGCCATGGCGGCGGTCACTCTGGGGGCCACGCTGGCCTCCTGGTCCCTGTGCTGCTGCTGTGGCGGCCGTCTGTCTCTTCAAACTGGGTTTTTGCCTTTCAACATGGCGTGTAGTTTTTCTTGAGAGCTGGACATGATGTAATGGTTACAGGAGGTGCTGTAAATGGCCCTTAAGTGACTGGAGGGGAGGTGGGAAGCGTTCTGTGATCCTGGGAGCCGCTCTGTGTGTCTCAGTGCACCTATGCCTCTGGGCCGTGAGTCTCACGTGCTCCTGTTTTACCTCCCACTGGAGAGACAGGATGGTAGAGTGGGCTGGAGTTGAATACTTCCTTCCCCCAGGTTAGTCTCCGATAAAGCCCCCAGGTGAGGCACTGGGTAACTCGTTTTCCTGAGGGCAGGCCTTGTTAAGAAAAACAATGCTCTGGGGTATTTCAGAGTCATCCTGTCCCCGCCCCTGCTGGAGAACCGAGATGGGTTTTCTTCAGTATTTATGTGAGAGCCTGGCTGAGCTCCTAGAGGTAAAACTCACAGCGTTGCGGGGCCCCTGTGACTGGGTCCCCCCCGGGGTTCTCACCTCTCAGAGGTGTCTGCCGAGCCTCCCCCAGGTTGTCAGCTATAGTCAGGTTCCCTGCTGGGCACTGGGTGCCACGCCGGTTTCCGTTTGGAGTTTCTGCCCTGTGAGTGGGACCTCTGTATTTACCTGCCTCTCTCCAGTGTGGAGGCCGCAGTTTGCCCGTGATGGGGCTTCTCTGATGGGTCTCAGAGGAGCTGCAGCTTTTTCAGTTTGTCCAGCTTGTTACTTGTAGGACGGTGGTGACTTCCCAGCTCCTTACCTGTGGGCTGGAAACTGGAAGTCCATGAATAGTTTTTAATAGTTTCTTGTTCATGTTGTTGTATAAATCAGGATCCACATGTGTGAAAAAGGTCCACACATTGCTGTTGGTGGTTTGTTTCTTACGTCTTTTAAAAAAGCTTTTTATTATGGAAAAATGTAAACGCATACAAGATATATAGACAAGTCTAATGAAGGTGTATACCCACCATCCACCAAAATATCGATCAACGCATGGCCTGTCTTGTTTCATCTGCACCCCCAGGCCCCCAACCCCCGTGTGCACCCCAGCATATGCCCCCCTGCAGCAAATCCCATCACATTATCATGGTAGCAAATTTTTCAGTATTTCTAAAACATGTGCTATTTTAAAACATAACCACAATAACATATTACTCCTAAAAATGTGACAGTAGTTCTTTAATATCTTCGACTGTTTAGTCCAAACTTGCAGCTGTCTCATCGATGTCATGGGTGGCTGGGGCTACGCCTGCGGTGGTTGATGGGTTCTTCTGGTCTCTTTAAAGCCCCCCTTTTATTGAAGAGGCCAGGTGGCCCCCCTGTGGTTTCCTGGAGTCCGGAAGCCAGGTCACAGGAGGTCTCAGGTTTTAGCAGCTTTTGATGCCCAGGATTGGAGTCATTTGTCTATTAACGGTTTGGTTCCTGACTGTCCTCCACCGCTGACCCACAAGCTTTCTTGGTGGTTTTGTTCTCCTGCTGCCGTAAGCTGTGACTTTTCACACAGCTGATGTTCTCACGCTTCCGTGGGCGTTACCTCCTGGCGCTCGCATCCTGCACTCCCGGCACGTCACATGCTCTTGGCCTGGTTTGTGTAGCTAGCATGGAGAAGGGCAAACCACCTGTGTCCTTGCCAGTCGGGCCTGCACCAGTCACTGAGCAAGGTGTGGGGCTGCGAGTCTGACTGCGCGCCACACTGATGTCCTTTCTGTCCTGTGCCAGCCTCACCTCTTCGGTGTCGGCGGGTGACAGTGTGCCCTGGCATCCGCCAGCCGTCCTGGTGGGCAGTGCTCAGAGGGTCCCACCTCTGGTGGCCCCCTGTTCCGCCTCTTGTGGCCAGGTGCCGCCTCCATCCAAACTCATTCCTTGTGCTGACACTGCGCTTCTGTTTTTAGGACCCTTCGCTGTTGGATGACCGGGTGACGCTTCTCCATGTCCCAGGGGGCACAGTGGTGTCAAGGCAGGGAGACCAGGTGAGTGAAAGGCCGCAGTCCGAGGGAGTGGTCCCTGGGGCCACCAGTGCGATAGCCCAGGGCTGGATGGAGTGTGCTGGACACGTGATGCAGGGTCTGTTGTCACTGTCCCCAGAAGGGCTGTCCCTCAGGCTTGTCCCTGTCACAGGGCGCACGCGTGTGCTCACTGACGTCGCTCACAAAGCAGGAGGAAAAGCATTTCCTGTTCTTAGTGCTCACACCTAGACACAGATGAAAAGCGATTCTTTTACGTATCCAACTCTGAGAACATCTGTGCTGGGCAGCAGAGACCCTGCCCTCCCAGGAGCTGGCGGGCTCCGGGCTGTCCATCTCCGTGGCAGCCGTGTTGTCTGGCCCCGCACGAGAGAGAGCGCAGGGAAGGCGTCCTGTGGGGTCTGCTTCCAAGGCGGCCTCAGTGAGAGCGTCCTTCTTGCTGGGGGAGCAGGCCAAGCCTGGGCTCTCCTGTACTGGCTCGTCCACAGCAGCACCGTGCCTGTCCAGGTGACCGCAGCTGCCGCCACCGTGCCAAGCCGTGCGCAGGCGGCCGGAGCCTGTGGGCCCTGAGACGCTGCCACAGGCATTGGCGTCGCTGCCCTCTCTCCCTCCCTTGCTCTTTTCTTCCATCTTCTCCTGAGAGGACGAGAAGGCTTTTCCTTTTCCTCGGAGGATGCAGACTGCCAGCTGCCTTCCTGCCCCCGGCAGCCTGGGCTGTGCTCAGGAGAGGCCTGTGCCCCACACTGAGCCCTCAGCTGCCCTCAGAGGCTGCGGGTGGAGCAGGAGCTGGCCTCTGCCTGCCCCCGGCCCCCAGACCTCTGCCCTTTTTCATCCATCGCCCGGCCCTTTCCTGCTCAGACCGCAGAGCTGCTCTGATGGAGCAAGGGCCTGCAATGGGCAGAGAAGTCAGGGCTGGCACCAGAGCGCTTCTGTGGGTGGGCATATGTGCCGACATTGGGCCTGAGACACGTGATGTGAGGGGGTGCCCGCTGTCAGGGCTGGCACCAGAGTGCTTCCGTGGGTGGGCGCACGTGCCGACATTGGGCCTGAGACACGTGATGTGAGGGGGTGACCGCTGTCAGGGCTGCATGGAGTCTCAGGGACTTGGGCCTGTGGGCCCCTGTGGAGGGAGAGGGGTCGTGTCACGCATCGCACGTTTGTGAGGGACAGTTAAGCAGGCAGGATGGGCGGTTTGTGCATCTGAGGCCGGGCTCCCTGCCTGGGGCCTCCCGAAGTGAATCTCCTGTGATGGACAACGAAGCGACAACAGCGGGAGGGACACTGCTGAGCGCTCCTATTGTGAGGAAACAGGCCTGACCCGCGGCCGTGCCCCTTCTGGCAGGACATGAACATCCTGTTTGTGGTCTCGGGGCTGCTGCACGTGTACCAGCGGAAGGTCGACAGCCACGAGGACAGCTGCCTGTTCGTCACGCGTCCCGGGGAGATGGTGGGCCAGCTGGCCGTGCTCACCGGGGAGCCGCTCATCTTCACCATCAAGGCCAACAGAGACTGCAGCTTCCTCTCCATCTCCAAGGCGCACTTCTATGAGTGAGTACCTCCCGCCCCCTCGCGCTGCGGGGCCGCCTGGGTGTGGGGCGGGGCAGGGCCCAGGCCTGCGAGAGGGCAGTCGGGCTGGGCCGTGGAACTCCGCTCCTTCTCCTGGGCCCCATGTCAGCCCCACCAGCCGTCCAGCCGCTGCAGCCCAGACGTGGGAGCGGCCTGGGGGGGCCCGGCCCAGTCCCTCTGTGTGTCTTTGTGTCTGTGTGTTCCCACATTTCGGTATGTGTTCTCGTGTGTGTCCATATGAGTGACCTTGTATGTCTACCTGTTTGCATGTGTGTTTCCTCGTGTGTGTGTGTGTCCATATGTGTGTCTTTGTGTGTGCTTTTGTCACTTTAGTGACTAAGCCCATTGGCTCAATGCTTGTGCCGAGTCCCAGAGTCACCCCAGCCCAGTCCAGCCAGACTGCAGCCGTGAGCTGCTTCCCGGAGGCCTCCACCCTAGAGTGGGGTGCCTTGCTTCTGCCCTCACCCTCAGCAGCCTGTTGGCACATGGGACCCAGGGAGGCAGGTCAACCATGCCCGTGTCACAGCCTGCCAGCGACGCCCATGTCCCCAGGGTCCACCCCCACCTTTCCTGCTCTGGGTCCTGGTCTCTGCCCACAGACCGGCCGTCCCCTACCTCGTATTCACGGCCCGTCGCGAGGCAGGGATTCTGCCACTCATGCTGGCTGGGCCTCGTGTAGCCTATGCTGCCGGGACATCGTGGGGTGGGTGACAGCCGGGAGGGGGCTCCACAGGCTCCCAAGGCTGCATGGCACCAGGGCAGACTGAGCATGTGCTGCCCCGGCCCCTGGCTGGGGTCCACGTCGCCCGCTCAGTGGGCGTCACAGTTTGATAAGCGGGGTACAGGTCCAGGCTGACGTGGGGCCGGAACGGCTCTGGTCTGGCTCGGCAGAATCATGCGGAAGCAGCCGACAGTCGTCCTGGGCGTTGCGCACACGGTGGTGACACGGATGTCGCCCTTCGTGCGGCAGATGGACTTCGCCCTGGACTGGATGGAGGTGGAGGCCGGGCGCGCCGTGTACAGGTGGGGCCCACGGGGCACCGGGCAGCGGTGGGGCAGGGAGGCGGGCGGTGGGGCCCGGAGTGTCTCACAGACACGCTCCTGGGCTCCGGGGTGCTGCGCTCACGTGACACACTCAGACCCACTGTTTCCATGGCATGTTGCCCGCCAGTCCATGCAAAGCCACACCGTCCTTTAAATGGCCCAGCCAGCAACGTCCCAGCAGCATTTGTGACAGTGCCCCAGAGCCACGTGCTTCCCTGTGGTCTTGGGGCCTCCTTGCTGCATGTCAGGATGACAGCTGCTTCAGACCTGCCTTAGAGCTGCCAGTTTTCATGGTGTTCAAACTAAGAACATGTCAAGTATTTATTTATTTTAAAATCACCTTAATCCCTTTACATGTTAGCATCTATATTTTTTAATGGAAGATATATTTTCCAAAACTAAAAAATTTAGTGAGAAGACTGTTTTTCATTTTTTGCAATGCTGGGTGGCCAAGGCTCCTGGGTGGTGCCCTGCCTGCTCCCAGCGCCCCTGTCCCATGTCCCCACAGGCAGGGGGACAAGTCAGACTGCACCTACATCGTCCTCAGCGGCCGGCTGCGCTCTGTGATCCGGAAGGACGACCTCAAAAAGCACCTGGCTGGGGAGTACGGCCGCGGAGACCTCATCGGTGTGGTAGGGCTGCCCTGGGTGCCCTGGGTGCCCTGGGCGAGTGAAGTGACACGATTACCCCCCAGCAGCTCCAGGCCTGGGCTGCAGCACTGGGGGTGGAATGATCGCAGGGGTTGAAGGTCTCCAGGGAGCAGGGTTGCGGGTGTGCAGGCCCAGGAGCCCGCAAGGCCAGGGGCCCGTGTGACCAGGTGGTTCCCCCAAGACTGTGTGTGGGATGAGGCCCTGGCTGGAGGACAGCTGGCCTCTTCCAGATGACTTGCAGGGTGGCCTCTCTGGGGATGTTGGGGCCTTCTGGGCCTCTGGCAGGCTGGGTACTGCTGACCGCCTGCCCCTTGCCCGCCTTTTTCTCCCGCTTCTCGCCTGCACCCCACTTTCGCGAAGCCTGGCCATGCACTCTGCCTGCCAGTTGGGGTGCAGGGCTGGTGGGCGTGACCAGTGTGGCCCCTTCACCCCACACTCTTTGTCAGGTGGAGACGCTCACCCAGCAGCCCCGGGCGACCACAGTGCACGCCGTTCGGGACTCGGAGCTGGCCAAGCTTCCCGCGGGGGCCCTGACGTCCATCAAGCGCCGGTACCCGCAGGTGAGGGCTCCTGATCCGAGCTGCGTCCTGAAGCTGGGCGTCCGCCCTGGGACTCCATGGTGACCAGGCAATGGGCTGCATCCCATCCCAGGGCCGGGGTGAGGCCCAGGCTGAAACAACCAGTGCAGGCAGGTGTCCTGCTTTCAGAGGAGGACAAGGGCCTCGGGCAGGTGGGCTGGGCGCTGGCAGGAGGTGCAAGGAGCGCAGGGACCCAGACGGTGAAGCCTGCCTGGCACTGTGTGTCCCGAGGCTGCACCCACACGACTCATGGAGGCGTTTACAGCTGGCGGGAACAGGGCTCCTGCTGCTCAGGCAGCACTGAGGGCCACGCTGCTCTGTGTGGTGCTGGCACGTCCCTTTGTGGGGAGCAGGGCTCCACAGAGCCTTTTGTTTGCCCAGCCCTCAGAGTGGGTGGCTTCAGGTCCAAGGCTGCCCAGAGGGTTCTCGTGCCAGTGTTTTCATGGCTCTTGGTAGCGACATGAGAGGGGAGTTGCTGGGCCTTGAGGGAGACATGTGTTTGATACTCTAAGCACCTGCCCACCAGCGGCCCCACCTGGCTGTGCCAAGGCCCCTGCAAGGCAGCCCCAGTCTGTCCCATCGCGGACACTCGGGTGATCAGCCCCACAGGCGAACATTAGCTGCCCTCCTGGTGGGAAATGGGTCCCATCATGGTTCGAATTTGTATTTCCACGATGAGTAGAGATGTGCACTTTTTATACATTCATTGACCTATTTTGAACCTTTTTCAAAGTAGAATTGACCGCTTTTTTAATTAGGTCTAATTTAGAATTATTGTTCATTTGTAATTGTGATACTTATATCGTAGTTATGTTTTTAAACGTTCTTTTCTCTTAGAGAGACAAGCTCAGATGTTAGCTGATAGAGCGCTATGTTTGGTATTGCATCAAAACTTGCCATGGGTGTGTGTGACATAAGATCACTGGAGCTGGGTGATGAAGGGGCGGCTCTCTGCCGTCTCTCTGCCCTTGTGCGTGTGTGCCGCTTCCCATAATTAAATGTGTTTTTTTTGTTGTTGTTTAAAGAATTTTATTGGGGTATTGGGGGGATGGGAACAGTGCTGGGGAATTGGGGGAAGGGTAACAGACAAGTTGCTGTTGTTTTGTTCTTCAGTCTAGTTGTGGAGGACGTTGCGTCACTGGCCCAAGTTGGCACTATCATTGCGCTCTTCCCGGGCGAGGCAGATCAGTCGCCGGCTTCTGGAAGGCCGCTCACTGCGGCTGCTGGCCGCTCATGCTGGCTGCTGGCCGCTCACGCTGGCTGCTGGCTACATACGGTAGCCCATGGCAACCCACTGCAACCCACTGCCACAGGGGCTGCAGCCAACGCCGTCGCTGGCGACTCACGGCAGCCCAGCTCCAGGTCGAGCTGTTGTTCAGCATCTTAGCTGTAGAGGGCAGTGTCACTGGCCCTCATATGTGGGATCCGAACCGGGGTCCTCTGGCATCCCAAGCCAGTTCTTAACCATCGCGCCACTCGGCCGGCCCAATGTGTTTTTTTAATTTAGCTCCAATCAACAGTCTGATGCTAGCTTAGTTGTACATGAAGCAGACTCCTTTCCAGTTTCTGTTTTGGACCACTCTGCTCAAACTATTTTTTTGTCTCACGCCCTAAAATTTGGACAATTTCACTTTATCTCGCATGGGTCTCCGCTCCAACACCCTGGGGGTAAGAGGGTGTCTCAGAGTTACCTGCAGGTGGAGGGCTGGCCGGCGGGCTGGAGGGACGCTGCCTACCAGAGCAGAAGGTCTCAGAGCCAGTTCCTTCCAGAGGTGGCTCTGGGCTCCCACTGTAGACACGCAGGAAGCAAACCAGAGGCTGGGGCCTGGGGAGGCAGGCGGCAGGGAGGGCAGCCGTGTTTGCTTCAAGAAGCCGTGTCCAGATGGCCGCCTCAGAGCTTTCAGCTTGCTTTCCTGGATGATGGGTTCACTGAAGCTGACAGCAGCTTCTCTTCTCAAACAACCCTGTGCTGCATGTGAGAGCCACCGTGGCCGGCTGCCTGCACAGCATCCTCTGTCATCTGGTACCTTAGCGACTTCAAAGCAGTTAACTCACTATATTTTTATACAAAAGCATTCAAGAGTAAATTACAGAGATTTTGACATTCCAACCGTAAATACTTTGGTTTATGACTCTAAAAATTAAGTATTCGTATAACCAACACTAGCAATATTGTATTGAAAATGTAAGATTTCCCAGATACCCTGTAGTACCAGCCTGTGTCCAGCCAGTCAGGTGCACTCATGGGCTCACGGCAAGCTCAGGGCTCTGGCCTGCCCGGCACCTATCTGCAGCCAGCGTCTGGCTTCCTCGCGTATCGTCTGCATGTTTCCTGCCCTAGAAGTCAGAGGACAGGCTGGCTGGCCAAGGTGGCAGGGCATGTGCCCCTCAAACCTGCCCGCTGCTCATCCATGCCATTTAGGTGACCCTTCCAAGCCAGGTCCCATGTCTGGTGACCAGACCACTGGCCAGTCACCCACCGTGGCCTGGAGTGTTTTACAGCCATGGCGGTTTTGAAGCTGTGGGCCCAGCATACTTTGTTTCTTAGTTTAAAATGTGTGATTTGGGGTCTATTCTTTCTCTGCCCTTAGGTTGTGACTCGGCTGATTCATCTCTTGGGTGAGAAGATCCTGGGCAGCCTCCAGCAGGGAACTGCTACAGGTGTGTCCCCTGGCCTGGGGCCTGGGAGCCCCACCCACCCTCCTGGGAGCCTTGTTTACAGCCCCCAGACACAGCCCCAGAGCCCCGCCCACAAGCCTGGAGCCCCACTACCCCAAGCCGCCTCCTCAGCACGGCCTCCCTGAGCTCAGTGCACCTGCGTGCTCTCAGTTCCCCTCTTGTGCCTCATTTGTCCCCACCTGACAGCCGCTGGACGCAGGGCACGTCTCCCTAACTCGCCTTCTGTTATCTGTCTCCTGCACCCACACGTCAGCTACCGGAGCGAAGGGCTTTCTGTTCCCTCACAGCGGGCCCCAGGCACAGCACTGAGTGTTGAAAGGAAGGACAGGTGGATGGACGTGCCCTGTGTAGGCACTGCAGGGACTGTTTCCAAATGAGGCCACACTCTGAGGTTCTGGGGAGATGGTCAAACACATGGTACACCTTTTCTCAGTTTGCTTTTAACCAGCCTGTACAGTTCTGTTTGAAGCGAGTTTCCTGTAGAGAGCATAAAGTTGGGTCATGTTTTTTTTTAAAGATTTTTTTTTGTGGAATTGGGGGAAGGGGAACAGACAAGTTGCTGTCCTTTTGTTCTTCAGTCTAGTTGTGGAGGACATTGCGTCACTGGTCCAAGTTGGCACCATCATTGCGCTCTTCCCTGGAGAGGCAGATCAGTCGCCGGCTTCTAGACGGCCGCTCACAGCAGCTGCTGGCTGCACACCGTAGCCCATGGCAACCCACTGCAGCAGGGGCTGCAACCTACGCCACCGCCGGTGACTCATGGCATCCCAGCTCCAGGTTGAGCTGTTGTTTAGCATCTTAGCTGTGGAGGGCAGTGTCACTGGCTCTCATATGTGGGATCCAAACCGGGGCCCTCTGGCATCCCAAGCCAGCTCTTAACCAACGCGCCACTTGGCTGGCCCTGGGTCATGTTTTTGTCACCCTTCTGACGATCTGTGTCCTTTTATCTGTGTTTAGACCATTTACATTTAACAGTTGTTCATAAGTTAGGATTTTTGCCCCATTTTATTATTTGTTTTCTATTTTTCCCCCATTTTTTAAGTTACTCCGATTCCTCCTTCCTGCCTTCTCTTGAGTCACTGGAGCCTTTTTGAGTATTCCGTCTTCACCAACCAGCTGTGGGTCCCAGGGGATCTCCTCATACAGTACTTTTAGCAGTTATTCTAGGGACCTCAGTGCCCACACCTCACCTGTCCCGGTCTTCTCACGCCAGCATGGCGAGGATGCGTCACTGTTCAGTCACTTCACTCTCCCCCCTTACAGTGAGGCTTGTAAATGTTACCTGAGCCTACGTTGAAAAGCCCCCCTGCAGTGTTAGGACGTTTGCAAAGCTCAGCGGGAGATCGTCTGTGACAGTTCCATTTCTGTCAGCCCTCCGTCACCCTGGTGTCCCAGGCCCCCTACTGGTATCACTTCTCTTCTCTGGAGAAGCTCCTTTAGCAACAGTTCTCTAGGAGCAGGTCTTACGTCCTCTAGCAGGTCTTACGTCCTCTATCGGAGCCTGCCTTTGCCTCCCCTGTGCCCAGAGGGTATTCTCTCTCTGCAGGCCTGGTGGACAGTCCTTTCATTTTAGCACCTTAGCAAGCTGTGCACCTGCTCTGGCCCCCATGCTGCTGGCCAGAAGGCAGTCATTTGACTGTCTGGGCAGGTGGAGGAGCGTTTCTGGCTGCAGTCAAGACTTCGGCTTTGTCTTCAGTTTGTAGAAGTCTGATTTGGAGCCTGGGCCTAAATTTCTTGGGGTTTATCCTGTTTGGGGTTTATTCATCTTTGTGAGTCTAGGGAAGTTTTCAGCCTTTTTTCCTTCAAATATTCTTCAGCCCTGTCTTCTTTCTGCTCTTTGGGGATTCCAGTGCTAATGTCAGACCTTTTGCTAATGTCCCAGTCAGCTCTGGGGCACTGAACAGTTTTTAATCTTTTTTCCTGTCTCTGGTGTTCTGGTTGAATAGTTTCTTTCGCTATGTCTTCAAAGTCATTGGCTCACTCTTTATCTCTTCAGCCCATCAGTTTTTTAATTTCAATTATTATGTGTCTGCACCTGTTTCAAGACTGTTCGTGATCACTGTTTCTATCTGGTTATGATCACGGTTTTATTGTCCTTGTCAAGTAATTCCAAATTATGTGACAAGTCTTTTTCGTCTGCTGATGGCTTTTCTCATTAGTTGAGATTCTCCTGGCTCTTGGTAAGCCTGGTAATTACTGACTGTGTCCTGTATTTTGAGCGATGTTATGAGACCACAGCAGCCAGCTCAGTCGTCTTGTTTCAGCAGCCTCTCAGTGCAGTTACATCCACAGCCACGTCCTGGCCCTCTTCCTTGGGCTATGTTTGAATGTGAGTGTAATTCTCAAAGCCTTTGCAGTATCACTCTGGTCTGCCCACTTGTGCGCCCAAAGCCCATGTGAAGGCTGCCTGCCGCCCCATACCAGATTCTGTTCCCAGAGCCTCTGTGTGCAGTTCTGGCCGGTTTCATGTTTCATACTAGGTTTAGAGGATTGCGTCCTCCACCTCCCCTTTCTCTGCGATCTCCCCCTCTCTAGTTGAGGGTGCCAAATCTGCTTGTTAGTGCAGGGCTTGGAGAATTGGGGGCTCCACCCCACCATGTCTGCAACCCCAGGCAGGTGGGAAGCTGGTGTTTGCTTAGTTAGTGCTTGGGGCCCCTAGAAAGTCTCCCTGGAGGCAGCACCCAGTAGGGCGAGGGGCGGGCATTGCTGCTTTTGTGGCATTAGTAGACTGGTCTTCTCAGAGCTGAGGTCCCAGGCAACCCGCACTCCTCTCTGCCCCTCGGAGTCTCCTGGGAGCTGTGTTCTTCAGCAGTGGGATGTGCCTGCCCCTCCCCGCAGCCAGAACCAGAACCTCCCACATGCGTGTCCTGAAGACTGAGAGCCCAGGTCTTCCTCACACAGGGGGTTCTGACGTCGGGGGTCACTGGGAAAGATAGTGACAAGGGGATCCCCAAGGAGGAGCTGCAGGAAAGCAGAGAAGAGGGGCCCTGTGCTGCCCTGTGTGTGGCCGGTGGCCAGTGCACGGCCCTCACCTGACTTTGCTCGCCCTCAACTCAGCTCTTAGCGGCCCCCTCTCTCTGCTCCCAGACCAGACCATGCACTCAGGAAGCGCCACTCCTCCAGGGGCGAGGCGGCAGAGTGGATGGACCTGCCCTCAGGTCGGGACGGTCTGTGTGGGAGACGGGTCTGGCTGGGTTGTGGCTAGCAGGAGGGGTGAGAATGGGACATGGCACCCTCTGACGGAGGCTAAGGGACCAGTGGATGTCACGTCTGTGGCCTCCACCCCAAGGCCCCCTGGACCGTACGGGTAGCCTGTGTCTCAGGGACAGAGGCTCTGCCTGCACTGACTGTCCCTCAGGCTGGGTCCGCTGCCCCTGAGGGTCATTCTATCCTCCCTCCAGGGTCCAGGACAGTAGCTGTGTGTGCGTCTTCCAAATGCTCAGTTTACTGTTTCTAGAGCGAATGGTGAAAACATCTAGGAGGGCAGGCCCTCGCCTGGCAGGACTTCTTCAGGCTTCTCACCTCCTTTCCCTGGGCCACCCCCTCATCTCACCCCCCGCCCGTGGGCCCCCAGCCCTGGTGTGTGGAGTGCAAGGTGCCGCAGAGTAGTCAGTGGGACAGGCAGGGCAGTGGGTTTGCGGGGCAAGTGCTGCGTATGGAGACCCCAGAGCCCACTGCTCTCGTCCCAGACTGCTTGTGTTGTGGTGTCATCCAGAGACGCCCAGAGATTGTCAAAACGGCGGCCCGACCCCCTCAGGTCAACACATGACCCTGTCTCCTCAGGTCACCAGTTTGGGCTACACTCTGCTGGCAACAAGTGGGACTCAGGCAACCCTGCCAGCAACCTGTCCACAGTGGCCATCATGCCCGTGTCGGAGGACGTGCCCCTCACCGCCTTTGCCCTGGAGCTCAAGCACGCCCTCAGCGCTATCGGTAAGCCTGGCCTCTGGGTCCTGCTAGGTTCTTGTGCCACCCTCACGGCTAAGCCTTGGGGGCTGCTGGGGAGGGGACCAGCTGTCTGTCAGGTGTCTCCACGAGCCTGTGTAAGTCACATCGCAGGCAGCTCCTCCAAGATGGTTAGCATCTCCCTGAGTGCTGGGGCCTCGGGGCAGAGACCCGAACCCCCCGGAGCCCAGTGTGGGCTCTGGCCTGCTAGGGACACGTGCCAGCGGCTGCACCACTTGGCAGGGACGCTGCATGGGAAGTGCCCTCAGTTGGGGTCAGGAAGCTTCCAAATCCCTGAAAGCTGTGAGACTTTGGGATTCAGAAGCAAGAAATTGGAATTCCTGAGAAGTCTTAGGGGTCCCCCCAACCATAAAGTCTTCGTTATTTTTAACACTTTATACATTTGTATACAATTGTGAGTGACCATAATGATAGTAAATCAGTTTTCTGTGGTAGGGTTGTACTGAGTTTCAGGATTATCTTTAAAAATGATGTAATAATGAACCCAACGAATATGACATTACTGTCATGAAACGCGTTTGTGATTAGAGCATACGTTTTAATACCTGTGAAAATGCTCTCTACCCGATACAGACATTTGATAACAGAAGGCATTAAATAAATACCAATAAAAATGAATCATAAGATTGAAAGATACTACTGTAAATATTTAATATTTAAAGTTATTCTCAAAATGAAATTTGAAAACGCAGAAGCATGAATTGCCCTTAGCCTCGATCTCCGCTTTGTAACGAATGTTCCAGATGTGGAGAACCCCTTCCTTCTCCTCTGCCTCGGCCACACTGTCCTGCGTGCGCCCAGAGCGTCTTCAGGTGCAGGGGAGACGTGCTGCTTCATGAAAGCTGATTCCCTTTTTTAAAAGCATTTTATTTTAAAATTATAGATTCAGAGGAAGTTGCAAAAATAGTAGATCCACGTACCTTTGTCCTGGTTACGTGACTGTAGTATTTGGACAGGAAGCTGACACTTGTACAGTCTATATGCCTTCTTCAGGCATCACTGGTTTTCATGTGTGCGTGTGTATGTGTGCGGACTCATGTGTGCACGTATACGTGTGTGCGTGCGTGTATGTGTGTGCATGTATTATGTGTGCATTTATTGTGTGTGTGTGTGTGCATGTGTGCATGTGCATGTGTGTGTGCATGTGTGTGCTCTGTGCTGTAGGTTCCTTCAGCCGCCAGCCCTGTTGGGCTGAAACTGCCCATCACATCAGACCCGCTGCCTCGCACAGCTGCCCCTCAGCACCTGTCCTCTGGCGACAGGAAACTGTTCTCCACTCTTGTCATTCTGAGAGTATTGTAAAAGTGGAACCAACAGTATGCAGCCTTTTGAGGCTGCCTTCTTTCCTCGGTGACATGGCAGTGTGCCCTTCTGCTGAGGGACACCATTGTCGGTGTACACACCTCCTTACCGCCTGCCTGCTCAAGGTCATTTGGCGGTTTCCAGGTCGGGCTTCCAGAGCTCTGCTAGCGTGCTGTGAGTGTGTTGTGCCCACCTGCGTTTCTGTTCCTCTGGGAGAAATGCCCAGGACACACTAAGCATGGGAGCGCACACTCGGTCTCGGCAGACCCGGTCTCCAGAGCTGCTGCACCAGGTCACATGCCCACCGGGTGCGGCGGTGGTGTCACTCCTTCACATCCTTGTCTTGTCACTGACGTTTATCTGAGCTATTTCAGGAGCTGGGTAGAGAGCTCACTGAGTCCCACCTGCATGCCTCTCGGTCGGTGCTGCCAAGGGCCTGTCCTGCACATGCCCACCAGTGACACACTGTCCTTGTCTTGTGTTGTTTTCTCACTGTGGAGTTTCGAGACTACTAGTCCCTCATCAGGTGTGTGGGTACAAATGTTTTGTTCCAGTCTCTAGTTTTTCTTCTCATTCTCTTAACAGAGCTATTCACAGGCAAAAATTTTAAATTTTGATGAAGTCCAGTTTGATTTTTTTTTTTTTTTTGGTCATGCTTTCAATGTCCTTTCTAAGAGCTCCTTACCTTGTCCTAGGGCCTAGATTTTCTCCCGTGTTTTTTCCAAAAGGCTTGTAGTTTTCATTTAAATCTATGATCTCTTTAGGGGCTAATTTTGTATAAAGTGTGATGTTTAGTTAAGAGGTTAATTTTCTTTTGCATATGGATGTCCAGTTGCCCACTTCCTCCACTGGGTGGTCTTGGCGTCCCTGTTAACAATCGTGTGATACACTGAGCAGTCATTCTGGACTCGGTTCTAGTCCATGGCCTGTGAGTCTGTCCCGGGCCAGCGCCAGCTTTGTACTGCGTCGGGGTTCCTGGAAACCCACGTGGATTTTAGGATGTGCTTTTCTATTTCTGTAACAAGAACTGCCTTTGGGATCTGAGAGGGATCACACTGAATGTGTAGGTTGCGCTGAGTGGTGCCGACATCTTAACACTGTCTTCCAATCTGTGAACTGGGGGTGTGTTTGCGCTTACTTGTGGCTCTGATTCCCGTCAGCAGTGTTTATAGTTTTCAGGGTAAGCCTTTCACTTCCTTGGTAAAGGTTATCCCTAAGTATTTTACTGTCTTTGATGCATTATAAGTGGAATTATTTTCTTCTTTTTTTTTTTTTTTAAATATTTTTATTGGGGAATTGGGGGGATGGGAACAGTGCTGGGGAATTGGGGGAAGGGGAACAGACAAGTTGCTGTCATTTTTGTTTTTCAATCTAGTTGTG